GGCCCCGGTGCCGCTCCGGGGCGGGCGCGCCGGCTTTGGCGCAGCGGCGGCCCCCCCGCCCCCGGGCGCCGCGCTCGGGTGGGTGCCGTCAGGATCGGACTGATTGGTGCCGTTTGCGAGGCTGCAGGGTGATCCGTCCGGCCAGCGGCAGTGGGGGCTGTCGGGGAGCGGCCCCGGCCGAGCCCAGAGGCGTTCTGTCGCGATAGGGCCCGCTCTGACGTGGCAGCGGGGGGGGGCCGGGCTCTCCCGGCGGAGCAGCGCCCGCGCTTCCCCCCGTGTTCCGTTGGTGCCTGCTCGCCCTCCCTGTGCTGTGGTGCGGTGTGCTGTGCTGTGCTGCCTCCTTCCAGCGTACGCTGTGGCGGCTGGGGGGAATTGCAAGCAGTTCTTAAAACTGCAGCACAGCCGATTTCTCTCCGAAATTAGGAGTTGTTGTAATTCAAAATGGACATTCCAGTATTCTGTGTATGACATGGATTGGGCCACCGGCCCTAGAAATAGTGCTTTTACTGTGGACTGGGGTCTTACTGTGAGCTTGACTCTGCCTTCTCTTCGTTGTGCTTCTCCTTTGTTAAAGAGGAGTGGTTATTCTTGAAATCGGTTTGCCGTGTGTTGACATAAAATATCGTTCAAATATTGAGTTAACACTCTTGAACAGATGTATCTGTAAAGTCTTTGGTTAAGAGTGTGAAGAATTAGTTTAATCTGCAACCTGGAAGGAGTGAAAAAGAGGAAATGGAAGAGATTTGTGCTGCAGGTAAGAGGAAGTACAGGTTCTGCATCTCTTCAAGTCAGATCACTTTTTGCTAGTCACTTCATAGTGCAAAAGAAAGAAAAAGGTAGATTAATGGCTTTTGTTTTAAACACAAAGTAAAAACTGTTTTTAACTTTACGCAAGAGCTCAAGCAAATGACTCCACAGTCCAAAGGAAGCAGCAGTGCAGAATTATTGTATCTGAAGTCATTGGAGCTTGACCTCCTTCCTAATGAACTTTCCTGGGTCAATCTCTAGTGGATGAGGAATCCTGTCAGGATCTGGTGGGAGAGGGCCTGACCTTCTCCAGCTCTTCTGTAGAGTTGTCCTCCGCCTAACTTGAGAAATACAGTCAAGATCACAAATAAAAACAGCTAATGATCAAAAAACTAAGTATCTCTTCTTGTCTAAAGATGGAAAATGAGAAATTCTAGTGCAAGGCTAAAATTCAAGTAGGTTGTAGCCAAGAGATTCTTAAATGACCTTTGGACTTGAGGTTATTTACTCAGTGAAGTGCAATGTAATCTCATCCCATCTTTCTGCTTGAAAAGTGATCTCATGTTGTTTTACTAAAGTCAGTTGTGATTGAGAATCTTTGTCACTAGGGATTTATTCAGAAGAAAGTAGACTCGTAGCAATCATTATCCTTAGTACTGCTTTCTCCAATGCAGAAAAGTGCATGTACCTGTATTGCATCAGGTCCTCAGCTTTCCCCTTTACCAAATTAGCCGGCATCCCCGCACACAAACGTACGTGCATGGGCTCTTTCCATAGAAAACATCTGCTTTATTCATTTTCCTGAGCAAAAAAAAGAAATAGGGATGTGTTTGTTTGAGGCAGAACTGGAAGACACCAAAAAAACAGAGTTCTTGGGAGTAAATCCAGATCCATGTTACTCCTTTGAGGTCAGCATCTGAGGCCTAACAAGCTTGTCTAGAATGAGAAGAGCACCTCAAGGGACCATGGGATTTTATTTCTGGGGCTCTATCCTGTTCCTTGTAGTGCTTTGCTGTTGACTGTTGTGGTTTCTACTAGTAAAAAGTTAGTAACTATATATTCACATGAAATATATTTGTAAAGTCATGCACAACAATAACTCCTAAATAGTGACCGGTAAATGTTGCGCAGTTGCTAAATGCCTCTTATTAGCGGGCTGTCTGTGTTCCTTTACATTGCATATTAGAGCAGTTTATAAATTAAATAAACACAGTATGCCTCACGGGTATTGGTGACTAAGGAAATGCAGACAGAAGAGCTGCTGCTTTAACTGCGCACTTTTGAAGCAGCAGAAGCTCAGACAGTCAGTGAAGGCTTCTGGCTGGTTGCTGAACGGTAGGCTGTGATCCATGAAGAGCTGGCAAACCGCATGGTGCCGACTCCACTCCTCTGCTTGCATCTGTGTCTGTCTGAGGCCTTTGTTCCGGAGGAGTGCCGAGCCCTGGAAAAGCAGCTGGAAGCAGGGAGATGGCCGTGTACCTCTGCTGCAACCTGCTGTATTCTGAGACACGTCGCTCTGCGTTTTCTTTCCTAAGATTTCTTCTAATTGGGGAAAATAGGTGAGGCTAGGATAATCTGCATTGTGAAGCAATCTTTGTTTTCAGTGTTTGACAAACTTTCCCCCTCCAGTTTGCACTGGGAATTACTGCCTGAAAATTGATTTGCCTTTCTCAGTGTCATTTGTCAAGTGTTAAAGCTGACCTGCAGTTGCAAGGCTGTAAAATTATGTGCTGGATACTTTAAAAAAAGTAGTGTAGACAGTAAACGTGTAATACTTTTGCTAGGTAATGTAGCTGTTTCATAATTTTGTTTATGCGTCTACGATGTATGAGATTGTATGCTATGTTGAAGACTTTAGTTCTTAGCCATAGGCTGCTGCCAGTTTATCTGCATTTTCTCAAGAAGTGCTGCTTTAGGTAGGTTTGGATTTTCTCTCTTTGAAGGAAAATGTTGCCTTTCTCAGCTGACAGATTTATGGTTAGACTTAGGTTGGTTTATTTTTTTAATTGGAACAGGATTCTATTGGTAGAACCAAAGAAGTTGTGGTTCTGTGGCTGATGTGGACTTTGTACTGAACAAAACTACTTTCTTTATTAAATGCTCCAAAAACTCTGTCAAGTTCGCATGACTAAGTATGGACTGGCTTTCCTTAGAAAAGCTTCTGTTTGTAGATTTTATGACTGTGATCTGCAGTTCATAGTAAGTATTGTGTGTACTCCTTAGCCAGTCTGACCAAACCCCTTTGCTGCTGCCTGTCACTCTTCACCCGACCCGCAACAGCAAAATGAGGTTGATGAGAAAGTACTACAGTTTCTGCTCTCTGTCCTCCTGGCTGGGGAAATGCTACTGTTAGCATTTCCAGAAGTGGAAGGAGTTTTCCCATGTGTGAGGATGAAGCAAAAATGAGAGGTTTGACTCTTCAAAATTTGAGCCCAGAGTTTGGGAAGAAGAAATAAAAATGTGTTTGTTTAGCTCAAGGAATGTTTGTGGGAGTAAAAGGAAAGGGAGAAAGATGAAAATAACGCAGTGTAGTCTCAGTATGTTGCAGTTACCAACCACGAGCCGAGGTCAGTGCTGTAGCAGGTATATTGATGTATTCCTGAAAGTGTTGATCAAATTCAGAGTGTTTCCTGTTTTCTCCCTCTGTGTTTTTTTTTCTAGTAGTGTAGATCCTGCTTTCTCACGGTTTACCGGTCTCTCCATAGGTATTTGGTTTAAACTTTGCACTTTGCCTAGTCTAGCCTACTTAACTTGAAAATTAATTTAAGCTTGGCATTAGGATGTATTCCAGGAGCATCTGACAATTCTAAACATTCAAAATTCAGTATAAATACTGAAAGCCTTAATAAAAATTGCAGCTTTGGGGTTAGGGGTGGATGTGAGGCTGGCAATGGCTTAGAGAAATTTGTTAAGTATATTACTTGTATTTATGTGACAATACATCCAGATACAAATTTATAGCCATTATCAGCCATTAATGTGTCTTAGATGCTTTTTTTGCTGTTTGCAGTTATTTACCAAAAGAAAATAGCATGTTGAATAATTGACCATAGCTATATGCTGCAGCATGATGCTGTGGTGCAGTCTGTCCAGGTGGATTTCTCTGTCATTAGGTTTTGACCCAAGGCCATCATTCTTGCTGGGAGGTTTGATCAGCGGGAGAGCAGGGCTCCCTCGGGAGCTGTAGTGTCAGCGTGCCTCAGATGCAGCAGAGCTGCTTCAGCTGTCTTGGCAACATAATTCTAGTTCAAGTAATGTCAAGTGTGGGTTTTTTCTAAACTTGGCAAATGGTTTGTTGGGGGTGAGGTGTTGGCTTGTTTGGGGGGGGGGTTTCGTTTGTTTTCATTTTTTATACTTACAGATTTGTTGTATGGTTTTACCATCTGTGTAACTGTAGGTTTTGAGGCGTTTGCTGTTTCCTGTGCTACAGTTGCTTATGGGCAGTTGGGTTGTTTTGCAGGCTCACCTGGGAGACATTTCACATATGCAAGTTGCAAACAAAACCCCTTTTTGTTACTGTTTCAGCCATTCCTGTACTTGATGTATAAAGTCCCTTCATCTGGGAGGCTTATTCAGTGTTCCTTACAGCAGAGTGAAAAGAGTTCAGTAATCATGGCAGATAGCCTTTCTTCTAATTGCTTTATGGCACTGTTAATAAAAGCCTTTCTCGGAAATACCTCTGTATAAAGGGACAAGGATTTTCAGCCATGCCTCATAACCCTCTCCTAGAGAATAGGTTTCCCTCTTGTTTTTTGAACAATATTTGTATGCTTAGCTGAACAGATTCAAGTATTTTCACCCTGGATGTCAGTAAACAAGAATAATTGGAGGAACAAGATAGAGGCACAGGCTAGGTTGTTCTGTTCCCCTGCTGTGATACACCACCACATCAGTATTATGGGGTGATGCTTCACCTCACTTTTTGGAAGCTTTTAGGGACTGATTGTGCAAAACTTTTATGCTTCTGACTCTGCTCTAGTGGCTGAAGTTAAGTACAAACAAATGTTTTAATGTTGTGGCTTTGGCCTAGAATCTAAAGTTACTTCGAAGATGTGATGTAGATGTCTGTCATTTTAGCTTGCTTCTCTCTCTTTTTTTTTTTTTAAATTTTGTTGTAATATACATAGGAACATCTGGTTTTGATTGATTGATATTTTTTCCCCACCATGTCATCAATTAAGTTTCTGAATTGGACTGCCTGATGTTGTAAAAATGACTTATTCCTTTAAAATTACGTTATTGGTGCTAGCATACTTCCTGCTTATCACTGGATCTGTAGTATCTATTGCCCTTGTACCTTTCCAGCGGTTCAGCATCTAAAGAATGTACTGAGGCATGTGACAGCACTCGGAGAATCGAGAGCTAATGCAGCCTTGCTGCATAGTGCCCAGTGATAATGCAGGACAGATCGTGCACTCTACAAAAATATCACCTGCAAGCTTTCTGCTGTGAGTAGCTTCTGCATCTCGCGTAGTGCGAACACCTTTTCCAGTGCAATGGTGTACAGGTAACTTACACCCACGCCACTGACAAAAATGAACTTACAGTTCTGTTTGTACAGGTCAGTTCTGGAAGCCTGGATTTTGTCCTAATTTTGTAATCAACTTGCTCAGAAATAAAAGATATATCCTTTCCTTTCTCATCCTTGGCATCAGGTGTTTTAAAGTACATCATCACTTTTGAATAATTAATTATTTCCTTTATCGCTTCAGGTATTTCTGGGAAAAGCCAGCTTCTGTTTGCACTGGTCTTCACTACCCGTTATCTGGACCTCTTCACTTCATTCATTTCATTGTATAACACATCTATGAAGGTAGAGTATACCACAGAGTTAGAAAAGCTAGTAATGTTGCATGCAGAATGCATAATTTCATCAATAAAAGCCTTTTTAAGTGGCCCACTGTACAGTTATTACAAAGTAAGTTCTAGAGGGGCTTTGGATAAAGAATGTGAAAAAGGAACTGAAAATTTTCTGTATTCCACATGCAATTTTAAAAAACTGTTTGTATAGGGACAGTGACATCTAGAACAAACCCCATTTTGGTTATTGAAAATAAAAGCTTTTGGAAAGATGGTTCAAATGAATTGTATTTCTCAATTGAGACATTAAAGCTTGAGTAAATCCCTCTTTTTCGACTACAAGGTAAATGAGTATTCAAAATGCATTGCCAGAATTGTAGTTAGCTTTTGATCCATCTCTGACCAGACACTGACAGGAGTATGCTTTTAGGAATGTAGCTTCCATCGGATTGTACCCTGTTCAGTTACCCACTGAAGGTTAGTGAGCCCGGATTTGGTTTTGTTATTTCTTTATTTATTCCTGCAATTTCTGGTGTGAGTACAAGAGAATAAAGCAGTAGACTGGGAGAGTGCATCAGAGCAGACACCTTTTTAGGCCACTTCCTTTATTCTTGGATTTTCTTGGTGCTCTCCAACTTTAGTTCAGAGGAACTTTGCCAAGAGGAAAGACTAGATAGGCAATACTGCAAAATGTACTGAAAATTTAGGGGACTAATACTGTACAATAAAATTTTAGATCTTAAACCCACTCATACTGTTGTCTTCTAACAAGTCAAACGTGTAAACTTAAGTTTTAATATTAACAGTTCAGATGAAGAGCTGTGGATTAAGTAAAATATCAAACAAACTTTTTTCCTGTGCAATATCTGAGTGCATTAAAGGGGCAGCTAGATTTTTTGCAATTTATTTATTGGTTGTGATTCAAGATCATGACCATGCCTTTGTCCTGCAGCTAACAGAAAAGGAATGAATATAAGAAATGACACTTGTGATACTCAACTTCATACAAACCGAGTCTTTCCAGTAATGAAAGAGTGGTCCTCTGTTCAAATCCAATATTACCTTGCAAAATAGAAGACTGTGTTACAGTTTCAAAGGTTTCTGCTTAGAGAGACTGCTAGATGTAATTGGCGTTGCAGCCCATTGTAAGGCCGAGACAAAGCTGCTTGGGTGTCCCATCACAGCTTCTAATTTCTGTAGAGCTAGGATTTTCTTCAGTATTTTTAGAGGAATATCAATTAAACTACTGGTGCTGTATTTTTCTGGCAGTGGTCATCACATATTTAGGAAAAATAGTTTCTTCTGTGTTCTAGGAATATATACGAAATACACAAATTGGCACTATCTGTATTTCTTACTGACCTGCAGATGAATTTTTGTGATTTGCAGCATTCTGTATCTTACAGTTTCTTTTTCATGGTACCTGTATCTGAGGATCGCATGCATCTCTGCTGGTGCATTATGCAGTCATTTTTCTACCATTCTTTTATTTTGGTATCTTTAAAAATGAAAACTTTTTGAGTGTCCCAAAACACATGATAATTCTCCTGAAGAAATCTTTAATAAGGAGTTGAGGTTTGTTCACACTTCCTTAGTGTCTTCTGTGATCATACCAATTACAATTAATTTACACCTGTAGTAGGGATTCCCTGTATCCGATATCCTGTCCTGTGGTTCTTCATCCCCAGTCAACTGGGGTGCCACTGCAGTGAAGTCTTTGAATTCTGGGCTCTATAATATAGTACTTGTAGCATTTTTTGTCAGTGAGCAGTGCTTTTAGTGATAAGTAGCATCTGCAAACAATGGGTTTTTAAATCTTTTACTTTTCAGTTGTAAACAACCTATATTTAATGTGATAAATGGTTTGGAATATTTAATCTTTGGGATGAAACTGAGGCAGAAGCTAAACTATATGTCTAGTCCACTGTTCTGTGTTGTCTCCAGGACAATGTGAGCTCTGTCCTGATGATGGCAGATTGACCTTTAGAAAGTCATGTATTTTCTCCCATTCTGTTTTCTCGTCTGTAAAATAAAGCTATTTGCCTACTCCACGGGGAATAGCTATGAAGTCCATTGTACCATAACAATTAAAAATGGTAACACTAGACATCAACTGAAATTGAAACTGAGTTCTGGTTCAGTGCTCCTAGCAGTCTGTTAGTTTTATGGCCGTTGGCTAGTGGAAAACACTGGCCAATTGCAGCTTTTCAGATTTTAGAGATGTTTATGGGTCTAAATCAAATCAGCTGATTTGTGATATGTTAAATTGCTGAGTTTGGATGGGGCTTATTGAATAAGTTCTTAATTGCCACTTGAGCAACACCACTCTCAGGCTTTTTGAATGTAAAAAGACCCTTTCCATCGTATATCTACGTGCACATTTTCAGTGTAAATGTTTTGGGCCAGTGGTTCCCCTGCAGCAGCAGAAGGGGTGTTCCTTCGTGCTGCCTGCTCAGGACAGGGTCTGTGAGGAGACTTTAGGCAGTCACTGCAAACAGAGGCAAGGTGATGCTTTTAAAGTGGTAAAACCAGTAGAGCCCCAAGTCACTTGTTTTGAATTATTACTCTGTGGAGAAAAGTTAAATTCCACCACATAGCCTGGAACTGCAACAGCAGGGAAACAAATGATGCAAACTACCAAAATAGACAGCGCTTGTTCTTCTTAGTGCCTGGGAATATCCTTGTTCAGCGAGTTTGATCTAATCCTGCAACCTCTGTGGGCTCTGTTTTTCTTGTTGTTTCTTTCTTGCTCTTTAGCTTATCTACATCGCTTGCTCGTATGCCACCGTGTATCTGATCTACATGAAATTTAAGGCCACCTATGATGGAAACCATGATACATTCAGAGTGGAGTTTCTGATAGTTCCTGTTGGTGGACTCTCGTTTCTTGTCAACCATGACTTCTCTCCTCTGGAGGTGAGTTGAGGGTGGGCTGGAGCTTATATTTTTTTTCTCTAAAATTATTTAGAACATGAAGATGAGCATTTTTAGGTTGATTGAGGAATGCTTGAAAGATGCCTATGTCTGATAGGTTCAGGCTAATCCTGTTTCTTTATTGCATCTTTACATTGTAGATTTCTGTGAAAACTTAAGGCGCTTCAGGAGACTAACGTTATCAACACTGATTATTTTATTAAGCACAACACTTATCTTTTTTTCCCTATATACTCTGATGGTTATATTAGTTCAAAAGTATCCTTCCTCTTGTTATGTTTGTTAAAGAAATGCCCCAGAATGCAGTTTGTGAATAGTTGGTGCCACCTGCAGAAAACAAAAGGAATCCTAATACTTAAATCTTGTAGAATTGCAAGTGGTCTAGCATATTAGGAGGAAGTGCATTGTATTTGAGATGCAGCTATGTGTTTTCCTATCAGAAAAAATCTATTAAAAATGTAATTACAGAGAGTTCAAACAGGTAATTTTTCCCATGAAATAGCAAATAACTTTAGATGCTTATCTTAAGTGGATTAAGCTGCATTTTTATGCTTATTGGCATTAAGTTATTTTATTAGAGAATAAAGGAATTTTAATTGCAACACTTTGAGACATTACTTTAAATTTTGTTTTGTATTAACTCATTCTTTAACCCCTTAGATTAAAAAAGTTGGAAGAACATGGAGAAAAAAGGACTTCCATCTTCCCTGCAGCTTTTCACAGCACCAGTTTTGTAAACTGTATTTTATGGTACTGTGAAGCCTGAATTGGTGGATGCATATAAGTTTCCTAAAAAATAGACCTGTGCCTGCTTGCTCCCTAGAGAGGTGGTTTGGGAGCCTGTTGTCTGCCAAGAGAGTTGATCCCTCGTGCTGTCCCATGGTTGATTATGAAGCTTTCACTTAGCTTTTTCTGTACCAAGGGTAGTTTGCCAAAATACCGTATGTATTCATAACGTTGTTAGAGAGTGAAAAGTCAAGCCAAGTCAAATACCTGCTTTCTTCTGTTATCAGTAAGACAATTGAATATATCTGTGGGTTGTTTTTGTTTCCTTTCAGATACTGTGGACGTTCTCCATCTATCTTGAATCGGTTGCTATTCTCCCTCAACTTTTTATGATCAGCAAAACTGGGGAAGCAGAGACCATCACTACTCACTATCTTTTCTTCTTGGGTCTGTACCGTGCCTTGTACTTAGTCAACTGGATTTGGCGCTACTACTTTGAGGGATTTTTCGACCTCATAGCTGTTGTTGCTGGTGTGGTCCAGACCGTTCTTTACTGTGACTTCTTCTATTTGTATGTTACAAAAGGTAAGTAGTGCAGTAACTTCCATCTTCAGGTTGTGGAATGTAGCAATTGGCACGTTCATGGGGATCTGCTGTATCAACATTACTAGGTTGTTAATTCTGCGTGCAAATTATCACTGAAATCTCCTTGACAGATTTATCAAGTAGACTTTCTGCTAGTGTGGGGTGTTTCTGAGGATTGTTTTGATTATGGGTAGAATATAAATGTATAAATTGTTACCTTAAGAGTCCAAAGGATTTGGGATGTTTCTGTTTATGCTAAGCGTTGAAGCAGTTATTTCTGCTGGTGCGTTAGTAGTTCTGCCCTTGTTCACATTCCAGCTGCTATCATAGAACTACAAAGCTATAGGGGGCTGTGTTATTGCAGTATTAGCTCTTAAGAAACCACAGTCACAGGCTGGTATGTCCTGAGGATGGAAAGTGGGAATTCCAGGGTGCCACGAGAGGGCAGGATTTGAATAGGTTTTAATTCATCATAGTTTTACTGGTACATATTGGAGAGAGAGGCGCAGACTTGGGAGGGCTGGCTGCAGTGCCACCCACTGACTCTCTGGGATGAGGTTTGGTCCCTTTGAAGTTTTAACAGTGTGTGCTTCTCCTAGGTCACATCTTTGCTCTGCTAACTGTTCCTTTCCTGCTTTTCCTTACAGTACTCAAGGGAAAGAAGCTCAGTTTGCCAGCGTAAGTGCCAAAAAAACATCACCAGCATCTGTCCTTTGGGATGCTTGGACAGAACAATCCTTATCACAAGCAAAGGCGAAGATGCTTGAGACAGAAAGTCAGAAACAGCTCTTTATAGTGCAGGTAGTCATCAGCGGCTCTGTAAGAACGGAGGAAAAACAACCAGCAGATTTCTGTTTGATGCATCTTGCCTTTATCTTTTTTATTACTATGTATAAAGATTTTTTACATAAAGAAACTTATACTGTATTGATGAATTCAGTGTATGGTTTCAATTGGAATAGTTCCAAAAGTGAGATTTTTGTGAGATTGTTTATGACCAGGAACAAGTGCAAACTTTTTTTTTTTAATTTTCAAGAATTTCTTTGAAATGACTTTTTTCTTTTTTTTTTCCAGTGCACAGATTTGTGCATCCTTGATGGATGGTAGTCATCTGTTCTTTCCCTTTGATTCAATTTTCATTCCACTGTATTTATTTTTTTCCAAAAGGTGAATATATGTCAACTCTAAATCTGAAACCAGGGGTGTTTGGGGTGAGGTGCTGGTGCCCGCTCGTTGTGCCATCTGCTGACGTGGAGCTGCTGCCAGAAGGGGAGCAGCCACCGCTGCCTGTGGTTGTTCCCCTTCTGGGGCTGGGGCCGGGTCAGGGACGGGCGCCGCCGTCCCCGGGGGTCACCCCGCTGTGGGGCACGGGGGGCGCTGGCCGGGGGGCGGTGATGGTGACCCCCGCCATGGGGCTGCGCTGGGGGCACGGGGACTCGCACCGTGGCTGCAGCAGTCTGTAGGTGATCATTTTAAACAGTAACTACATTTTCTTTTAATTAATGCTTTATAAGCAACTTCCATGTTCAGCTTCAAGTGGTTTTTGATGTCACTTTTGGACAATTGATATTTTTTTTATAAACTTTTCAAAATCAGCAGCACCAGTTACCATTCTTTATCCTTTAAATGATTCCCTTTTTTTACTGAGCTGTTGCATGATTTATCCTGTGTTACCATCCTCAATAAACACTTTATGAAATGGTGAAAATGTCGAGTGTTTTATTCCCGAATTGGAGTTTTCTGCTCGTCTTAGGCCGGCTGGAAAGCTGTAATCGGGACGAGTTGCTTCACGTCGGTGTGCTCCATCGAAACGTGGGCTTCTCAGGGTGTTACCGCGGAGGGAGCAGCGCGGGCTCCCTTCCGCTCGTTCCGTGAGAGCGCACCCTCGGGCTGCTGCGCGAGGACTCGGTGCACTGGCCCTTTAAGGGGCCTACCCCGCGGCCCGCTCTGCGCGCGCGGCCGGGCTCCTTGCGGCCGCCGCGCGTGCGCCTGCGTGAAAGGCCCCGCCGCGGCGGGAAGGTCCAAGGCGGGGGAAGGGCTTGGGGCGCCGCGTGCTACGTCATGACGTGGCGCCCCGGTGACGCGCGGCCTGCCCCCGTGGGCGGTGCGGCCTGCGGCAGCGGAACGGCGGCGGCCGCGGGCGAGGG